TTGGTCATGATAGATTCTGTTGTTCTTGTTTACTGCTTTTATGTCATTGAAATCAGTTTGTTAAAATTTAGTTTAGATTTTTTTCCATTTATATTTTAGGAGAACTCTAGTTTTTTTTGTTTTTCCCCCTCCCTTGTTTTCTTTTTCTGTTTTCCCTCTTTTTCCCTTTCTTGGCATGGGGTACAAACCCAGGGGCTGCTGAACCCCTTTTCTTTTCTTTTCCTTTCCTTTTCTTTTCTTTTCTTTTGTTTTCTTTTATTTTCTGACAAGCTCTTGCTAAATTGCTCAAACTACCCTCATAGTTTTAGTCCTCCTGCCACAGCCTCCAAAATAGCTTGAGTTTTAAGTATGGACCACCACAGCCATCTTAGTTTAGTTTTCTTTAAATGCCTTTGCATATATGTAACAAGGTAATGCTGACTTAATGGCATATATGTATATTCTTTCCTCTTTGCTTTTCTCAACGATTTGGGCACAATTAATATAATTTCTTTTCTAATTATTTAATCAAGTTTATTAATAAGCCATCTAAATCAAGAGTTTTCTTTCTGGGAAGACTTCAAACTACAATTTAAATTTAGCTCAGTGGCACAGCACTTTCCTAGCACGGTGAAACCATGGGTTTGATCCCTAGCCCTAAACACGCAAAAGATTTAATAGATACAGGGTCATTCTAGTGATTTGTTTCTTCTTACATGAGTCTTGGTAAGAATGTATCCATTTCTTCTAATTTATCAAGCTTACTATCTTAACATTGTTTATATTATTTCCTTGCTATTGTTTTAGTTTTTTAGAGTATCTTAGACAGGGTCAGTTCTGTTATCCCTGATATTAGTAATTTGTATATTTCCTCTTTTCCTGATTGACTAAACTAGAGGCATATTAACTTTTGAATTCTTCTCAATGACTTAATTTTTGTTTCACTGATTTTTTTAAAAATTGTTTTGTTTTTTCATGTTTTTTCCCCTTCCTATCTTCATTTCCTTCTTTCTGTTTGGCATTGGTTTAATTTGCTTCCTTTCTAGTTCTAAGGTAGAAGCTAAAGTAATAGATTTGAAACCTTTGTTTTTCCTAATACTTACACTTCAGTGGTTATTTGAATAAAAGCAAAATATGGTAGTTAAAATAGAGACAAGGAGATACTTTTTCAAAATTATTAAAGACTTTCATCAGTAGTATTTGATGACTGGGTTATAGTAATAAGGATAAAAGAAAAGACTTACGATTCTCACATTTACATTAATGGCATTGAATAGTGTTTTACTGAGTGAAAATTCTGTCAGTATATTACTAATAAAATATAGGACAGGCTAAATTAGTAAAAAAAATAGTTCTGCTTTAGACACATTGATTTTGATATCTTGGATATATCAACTAGCTATGTTCTATTGGCATTTGCTTCATGAAGAGTTCTTGGGAAGAAATAAAGATTCGTAAGTCACCAAGATGAAAGGGATCATTAAAATTATGACACTACCAACTAGAGGATACTGTGTGAAACAAGAAAAAAGTAGACAGAATTACTGAAAACATTCGGGATATTAGAAGAGGATTAGTGAAGACGAATGAAAGCGAATGCACAGTTGCTGTCAAAAAAGTTGAAGTAGCCACTTCAGCCCTTCCAGGGGGAGAACTAGCAGTGTCTCCTGAGATCCACACCATGCTGGAACTTAGGACTCTGGGAAGCCAAGCCAGCACCTCCCCTCCCTGCAAGCGGAGGCAGGGTGGCAGCCTGCAGCCCTTCCAGGGGGAGAACTAGCAGTGTCTCCTGAGATCCACGCCATGCTGGAACTTAGGACTCTGGGAAGCCAAGCCAGCACCTCCCCTCCCTGTAAGCGGAGGCAGGGTGGCAGCCTGCAGCCCTTCCAGGGGGAGAACTAGCAGTGTCTCCTGAGATCCACACCATGCTGGAGCTTAGGACTCTGGGAAGCCAAGCCTGCGTCTCCCCTCCCTGTAAGCGGAGGCAGGGTGGCAGCCTGCAGCCCTTCCAGGGGGAGAACTAGCAGTGTCTCCTGAGATCCACGCCATACTGGAACTTAGGACTCTGGGAAGCCAAGCCAGCATCTCCCCTCCCTGTAAGCGGAGGCAGGGTGGCAGCCTGCAGCCCTTCCAGGGGTGAACTAGCAGTGTCTCCTGAGATCCACACCATGCTGGAACTTAGGACTCTGGGAAGCCAAGCCAGCACCTCCCCTCCCTGCAAGCGGAGGCAGGGTGGCAGCCTGCAGCCCTTCCAGGGGGAGAACTAGCAGTGTCTCCTGAGATCCACGCCATGCTGGAACTTAGGACTCTGGGAAGCCAAGCCAGCACCTCCCCTCCCTGTAAGCGGAGGCAGGGTGGCAGCCTGCAGCCCTTCCAGGGGGAGAACTAGCAGTGTCTCCTGAGATCCACACCATGCTGGAGCTTAGGACTCTGGGAAGCCAAGCCTGCGTCTCCCCTCCCTGTAAGCGGAGGCAGGGTGGCAGCCTGCAGCCCTTCCAGGGGGAGAACTAGCAGTGTCTCCTGAGATCCACGCCATGCTGGAACTTAGGACTCTGCGAAGCCAAGCCAGCACCTCCCCTCCCTGTAAGCGGAGGCAGGGTGGCAGCCTGCAGCCCTTCCAGGGGGAGAACTAGCAGTGTCTCCTGAGATCCACACCATACTGGAACTTAGGACTCTGGGAAGCCAAGCCTGCGTCTCCCCTCCCTGTAAGCGCAGGCAGGGTGGCAGCCTGCAGCCCTTCCAGGGGGAGAACTAGCAGTGTCTCCTGAGATCCACGCCATACTGGAACTTAGGACTCTGGGAAGCCAAGCCAGCATCTCCCCTCCCTGTAAGCGGAGGCAGGGTGGCAGCCTGCAGCCCTTCCAGGGGTGAACTAGCAGTGTCTCCTGAGATCCACACCATGCTGGAACTTAGGACTCTGGGAAGCCAAGCCAGCACCTCCCCTCCCTGCAAGCGGAGGCAGGGTGGCAGCCTGCAGCCCTTCCAGGGGGAGAACTAGCAGTGTCTCCTGAGATCCACGCCATGCTGGAACTTAGGACTCTGGGAAGCCAAGCCAGCATCTCCCCTCCCTGTAAGCGGAGGCAGGGTGGCAGCCTGCAGCCCTTCCAGGGGTGAACTAGCAGTGTCTCCTGAGATCCACACCATGCTGGAACTTAGGACTCTGGGAAGCCAAGCCAGCACCTCCCCTCCCTGCAAGCGGAGGCAGGGTGGCAGCCTGCAGCCCTTCCAGGGGGAGAACTAGCAGTGTCTCCTGAGATCCACGCCATGCTGGAACTTAGGACTCTGGGAAGCCAAGCCAGCATCTCCCCTCCCTGTAAGCGGAGGCAGGGTGGCAGCCTGCAGCCCTTCCAGGGGGAGAACTAGCAGTGTCTCCTGAGATCCACGCCATGCTGGAACTTAGGACTCTGCGAAGCCAAGCCAGCACCTCCCCTCCCTGGTAAGCGGCAGTAGTTTAGCCCACTGCAGCCCTTCCAGGGGGAGAACTAGCAGTGTCTCCTGAGATCCTAGCCCTGTTGGAGCTTAGGTCTCTGGGAAGCCAAGCCAGCATCTCCCCTCACTGTGAGTGGAGGCAGGGTGGCAGCCTGCAGCCCTTCCAGGGGGAGATCTAGCAGTGTCTCCTGAGATCCACGCCATGTTGGAGCTTATCTCAATCTCTCCCTTATTCTTTAAAAAAATTATTTAGTTATTTCTTATGTTTTTTAATTAAGGGGAAAAATTTTTTTAATTAGCATATATTATAGTAACTCTTTTTGATTTACTGTTAACTTGTTTTGAAGTCCTGTAATACTCCCACGATCTTGTTTTGACTGATTGGACTCTGTTCCATTCTATATGATAGTATCAAGTTTGAGGGTATAAGCACCTACTTTGAAGGCAATAAGATTCAGTAAGTTGCCCATTCTGGTTTGACTGTTGTCTCCTTTGGAAGTCCTGTAATGTTTACAATGCCTAAGTTTTATTGGTCTTGTTCTCTACTGTTTTGTCCAACTTTATAATATCTAATGAGATAGACTATTCTTTTTAAGGAAACAAGAGACAATTTTGATAACCATTGTTGATAACCTTGTACTCTGTTCTACATCATGTGCTATGTCTATCCTTGGTTTTGAGTGGCAGCTTTGTTTTCCATATTTGACTATATTCTCTTCCCCCCAAAAAAGTAATAAGGACTAGGAGTAATAAAATCCAAAATGTGTAAATTTTGTTGTAAAAAAGAGAAGGAAAAAAAAAAAAGAGCTCTATGGATATAACAGCAATTGTGTTTAGGGGTGTTAAATAGCTGACTATATTAATGTTTTTGGATCATTGAACACAGCTGTTTGCAGTCTCTCTGTTTGAATGTTCACTTTGTATTCTTTGATACTGTGATTTGAGCAACTATTTCCAAGATGATAATATGTAATCTATTAGCAGGTGATTTCTTACTATTATGGTTTTTTTTTTGTAGTTCTGTATTACGTGTACCCTTCCACCACTTTGTTTTGTTTTGTGTTTTTCTCTTTTTCCTCTTAAATAAAATTAAAAAAAAAAAAGTTGAAGTAAAAAAGAGTGGTGTCGTAAAAGACAAGAAAGAAGTCAGGTTCTAAGGAACACATTGTTAAAGGGCTGCTGTGGTGAAGCAGTAGCCATCCAAGCATTTGATACTGAAGAAGGTATTGGTGATTTTTATCAGAGTGATTTTAGTGGCCAGATGCTTTAGGGGAAGCTGTAAGACAGTAGTAACGGAGTAGTGAGGACACTAGTGACCTATTCGTTTATGAATGTTTTCTTTAGAGAAAGAAGTTCATGTGTAAAGTAACAGCATGTTACTTTAGACAAGACCAACTTCTATCTTGTTTTCTTAGCGTAAATTAAGAATTTAAGTGCATTTTAGCTTATGATAGCTATAAGAGAAAATTTAGAACTGTATCTTTTACTTGAACTTTCACAGAAAGCATGTTTCAAAAATCTGATTTTGACTAAAGTTTTACTATGCTACTAAAAAAATGAATGTTCAAAAACCTTTTTTTTTCCCTCCCCAGGAAAGACTCTGTTTGCCTCATCATATTTTGGAAGAACGAGGCCTTGTGAAAGTTGGTGTTACTGTACAGGCGCTTCTTGAATTACCTACAACCAAGACATCTCAGCTGTCTATGACTTGATGTAACATTTTTAAAGTCATACGTGTATAGTTTCATTTACTTGAAGTGATTTCAGATATCTTGAGTTCATGAATAAGAATGTTCAATCAAAAATAGTTTGCCATAGTGTTTTTTTTTAAAAATTACATTAGAACATAAAACTTAAACTTTGAATTGCCCAAACTTCTCTTTGGGGGAAACTGGATTAATTTAATAAGAGTTTGTGCTAAATTCAAATTCTCTTTTTTCAAAATCATTTCATAACCTTATTTTTCAAAAAGCAGATTCATACTAACTTTAAAATGTACTTTCAGTTTAATAATCACCTTAGGTTTTTTTTTAACATAACATTCTAGTAAACATCTGGATGAAAGTGATAATTTTTTTAACAACTTAAAACAATTCTATACTTGAGTTGTTTAGTACACTTCTAATTCTACTTTATACACAGTTTCTTCAACCTTTGGTCTTAGTTTTCTAGAAAAAAGTGAGTAGAAAAAACGGAACTCTGACATTATATTCTTTTAGTACTATAGGTTGGTGCCAAAATATTTTCAGTTGTACTGTAGATTGTTTACATGTGAAGTGCCTGTGTAATTGATGAATCTTATACAGTCTTAAGCATTTTTACAATTTCTTTTTATGTATTAATAGACTCGATAGAACTTTAAAATATTTTAGTAGATTTTGTAAAGTCAGTAATATGTGAGGATTCAAATGTACCTCACATTGTGACATTTGTGATTTTTTTTTAGTTAGCCCATTGCAGTTCTCCTTAAATTGGTTATTTCATGTTGTCAAAAACCCAATGTTAATATGCTTAATTTATGCTATTTAATTTTGCAAAACTTAATCCTCTTAAAATATATTATTTGAAGAGTATTTTATTTCTGTATTGAAAATGTTACACAAAACTGAGATTTTTGAGAACTAGTAAAGTACTATCAAGGACATTTTGATACAGCTAAAGTTTGGGTTTATATCTTGACTTTCAGGAACATTACAACAGGGCTGGTTTTAACTATATTCAGAGAGCAACCATTGAGGAACACATTTTTATTAAAATGGCCATTCATAGATACTGTATACCTATGATCCTCAACTCAGCGTTAAATTAATCGTAGACTGTTTCATAAATATTTTCATGAAATACTATGACATATAAAGTCCTTGTTTAATTTAGAGATGAGTGACTTTATGTTGGTAGTAGTATAGGAATTTTTCAAAATCATTACTGTAATGGATAATTCAGTTTCCTGTAGAAGAACATTAGTAATTACTTTTGTAGTAACCAAGCAAGTCTCATATTAAATATGTGATCATTTGCACTTGTTACCTCTTAATATGGATGCAACTTATTAAAAATTCTGGCCTGGGTATTTCAAAGGGTATATATGAAAGGTAATAACTAGTGTGCCAAATGGTATAGGAAGAGTTAATTTAGGACCAACTCTACTTCTTTTGATCACTTGGCATGAAGCCATATATTAAACTTTGGCTTTGGAATACTGATGTGTTCTTCACATTCCCTAAGGGTCAAATTGGAGCTTTTAAAAAATTAAAGCTTCTTATGACTGTAAAATTTAAGAATTAAATTATTGGTAATTTATTACTTTAAATATTTGAGCTAATTAGTTATTTTTCAGTTGAATACAAAAAGAACCTCATTGGATAATTTACCTAAGAAATGACAAGTTAGTACCTTAGTTGCTGAATTTTTATTTTAGAAATTTGACAGTGTTACAAATTAAGAAACTGTTTAAAACAACTCATTCATACATCTTTCATAGTTATCGTGCTGTATAATTCTTCTTATTAATCTAGTGTTATTTTGTTTCATATCATTGAAGAAGTAGTGAAATGGTTGGCTATTCCTTTATTAGGTTTCACTCACCAGTTAATTATTACTTTAAAGAGAAAATACACTAGAACCTAACTGTAGCATTCTTTTCTGCAAAAAGTTCAGTTTACATCGATTCATCAGAGTTCCAGTCCATGCTAATTCATTTATTATTATGCCAAAAGACTATACCACCTCTAAAACAGTTTCACAGAATAGTCCCCAAAGAAAATATTGTACTAAGGCTCTGATGTATTTCTTTTAGTAGTTTTTAAGTATAAAATTTATTCTAAATGTTTTATGATGATTATATATTTACTTCATCAGTTATTAAGAATGATTACCATTATTTGAAGGGATTTATGATTTGTTGAGGGTTGAATAATCACTCTTAAATATTTTATTGGCCCCTAAAAATTCAATATATAGTTATTTCTGTTGAATTTTATGAATGTATGGCACAAGAAACAAATGATGTTGGATATGTTAGAATTGAAAGAAGTAAAAATGCATTACCTTTTGTTTAATAATTACCTTTATAGAATGCCAGTTTAATGACTTTTCTAACTGAAATTTTTGAAAAATTGAGAAATCTTTGTATTTGTCACAGATCTATCATAATTGATTTTCTGACACACTTAAAAATAAATGGAACACTAAATGTATATTACTGATGCAAACTTGGATAAAGTTGAATGAAAAAATTTAAGTCTTGGATTTCTTTTCTCCTCCTCTCTCACCTCTTTCACGATCACAGCATCCATTTTATGCTTAAAAAAAAACACACAAATCAGTGTTTGATAGCTTATGGCTATGTTCCCAAGAATAGAAAAACAAAGTAGGTTGTCATAGTTAGAAATGATGACCTGGATTTATAGTTCAGCTATTAGGAGACCAAGACAGAAGAATTACTTTAGGCTAGGGATATATGACCAGCCAGAGCAACATAGTGAGACTCTAGGTTCCAAAACAAACAAAACCAGGAACAAAAAGCAGAATTTAGATTCCCTTTATATCATATTTTCAGTAGACAAAATTTTCTTCAAAAGCAAAAATTTCGTGGAATATCTTCACAAAATAGTATCACCTTTATATAAAAATTAACACTTTACACAGTTAAACGATGAAGTAAAGAAAATACATCAAATTGTGATTATTTGTATTGTAGATTTTAGTGCTAAGTATATGACTGACTTAAACTATGTGATAAGAAATTTTGATCTTTCATATTCAAATGGCTCTAATTTTTTAGAAGTAAAAATTTCACATATTTTGTTAAAATTGCTTATATTTGTTTATAATTTTGATTGCACTAAAAGTAGATCATTTGTGTAAATTTTATTGAAGATAATATTACAGTATTTTATAGTTGCTTATCCTAAATGGTCAGATACAAAGAAATATTTAATTAAGTAAATATTTGGCATTAGGTATTTGAAAACTATTCCAAGTTTACAACAGAATTTTGAACTATCAGTAGGTAATGCTAGGCCATGGATTTAGTTCAGTGGCATAAGCACCTTCCTGGCAAATGTGAGGTTGTGAGTTCCATCCCGGGGCAGTGGGGCGGGGAAGAAGGTAATGATAGTAAGTTTATTTTCTGATTTAGTAAGTCTACTATTTTGATATTCTACGTGGATTGGTTCTAGGAGTTTAAGGAATCTACCTGAATTCTTCAGAGTATGCCAAAGAACTAAATCATTGTATATTAGATTAATTTGCAAATCCAGATATCTTGTGGAATTGGTACTTTGGAAAATACCAGAAACTCATTTAAGATGTAATATTTTTTCATTCCTGTGTTTTAAAAGGTAAAATAATCCTTAGGAGATTTATACAGTTTACAGTTTCTACAGCTGTGTGTCTGTTTATATGTGCATCTAATGTGTGTGTATCTAACAAGACAGTCTGACTACATTAGAAAATCAAAACTTAGATGAGGAAATAGCTCAGCGGCCCAGCGCCTACCTGTAAAGTGCAGGGTCCTGAGTTCTATTCTCAGTACTAAGCAAAGAAACTGAGTATGGAAGAAAAATTCTATGATATATGTAGTTTTTTTTTTCCCCCTTAGTACTGGGTATCAAACTTAAGACTTTGTACTTGCCAGGCAGGTGCTTATGCCACTGAGCTATATACTCGACCACTGCCACTTTTTTTTATTTCCAAAGAAAGAAAAAAAAAGGCTGGGGATTTAGCTTAATTGCTTAACCACCTTCCCGGTAAGCATGATGTCGTGAGTTTGATTCCTGGTATCAAAAAATAATTGCAAAAGAAAAAAATAATTTCAAGTTGAGATAAAATGGTAACAATAATTAATACATTGCATATTGTTATCTTCAGAGTACTCAGGGTATAACACAGATGCATGACATTTTAGTACAAACCTTCCTTTTCAATGAACTAAGAGAAACCGTACAATTATCTTATTTATCAAACATATATATTATATTTTCCTTTTCCCTTCCTTTATGCTTTCCATTCTGACTTAAATTGTTTAGGGTAGAAAATTACCAATTGAATCATTTGAAAGTTGCTAAAGTGAAGAGAAAATTCTTTAAAATATGGTGACTTTCAAATTTTAAATTATTACATATGTTTTTTGTTTGTCAAATTCATAATTTAGATTACCCTGACATAAGGTTGGGAAGAAATAATTCATTTTTACTCTATTACAGTGATATACATCTATTATCTACCAAAGTAGGTGAGTAGTATATTAGAATTATAGATAAGTAAATACATAAATAGAAAAAAAAGTTTCAATAACAAATTGAATTTTCTACATCTCTGTTCAAATATCTTAGTAATTTCTAATGCAAATAAATATGAAGTAGTGATGTACATTTTAGGGATGAAAATTATGCTTTAGGGCAGTAATTCTTTAAACTTTAATGTTCGTGTAGTTCCCTGAGAGTCTTGTCAACCAACAAAGATGGATTCAGCAGGTCAAGAGTGCAGCTGGTTTATTGACCAACTTCAATAATAGGCTTTACAGTTATTCTAATGTCATAGTAATATCAATTTACTGTACAGTAATAGTTTGGTGTTTTAATTTATGCTTCAAGATTTTTACATGTTGTTAACTTTTTAAAATACATCTCTAGCCAGGGATTTAGCTCAGTGGCATGAGCTCCTGCCTGGCAAGCATGAGGTCATGAATTCGATCCCTGGTACCCCCAAAAAATAATTTTAAAAATGCGTCTCTATTCTTAAAAGTGTTCTAATTTCTTTATATTTTTATGATTTTAAAAAGTGTAATGTGTAGTGAGATTAGTACTATTTCATGTTTTTCTTTTAAAATATTTTAAACTGCTTGGGGTAAAACACAGGACTTTGAGCATATAATTCACACACTCTTATCACTGAGCTATATCTTCATTCTCTATCAGTGCTTTAAAAACAAATGGCCATATAATTTTCAAGTTAAAGGAAATTAGTTACATGAATAATATGTGATTGTTATATATATAGGTAATATATGACAAGTTAAAAGCACTGTTAAATTAAAAATACCAAAGCATACCTCCCCCTTTTGCAGTGTTTAGAAACATACATTAATTTATCATGATCTTGATGTCAGTCCAATCTTTTTCTAGATAGCATCATCTCCACTTAATTTTAAATTGAAAGTACAATCATTTCCAGGCTACTATGGTGAGTTTAAATGCAGACCATATAGAAATGCACAGATGTTTACTTAACTCTAAATATTTATGACTTGTGATCAGAGTTTAAGTATATCTTTTTAGGGGCTGGGGATTTAGCTCAGCGGCATAAGCGCCTGCCTTGCAGGCAGGCAGTCGTGAGTTTGATCCCTGGTACCGGTAAAAAAAGGAAAAAGACAAAAAAAAGTATATCTTTTTAATAATTATAAGTAATGCAGTTTTTATACTTATGCCTGTGTCTGTCTCTCACTCATAACCTTTAACATGTAAGATTAGCTACTGAGTAGAAGTTAGTATTATGCTATAGCTTATATTTTAAAATCTTATATATCATGATAGCTATTAGTGAATCAGAAAATCTTATAAATATACATTTTTAAATATGAGTATTATTTATGTATTTATTTGTGGGGATACCAGGGATCGAACTCAACCTTGCACTTGCCGGCCAGGTGCTTTTGCTAGAGAGCTATATCCCTGACCCAAATCTATAATTTTTCTATAGCCAAAGTTTCTAGGTTTTCTAAGGATAAGACTAAAACAAATAGAAGATGTACTCCTGTGTGTAATCAAAAACTTAAGCACCATTAAAGAATTTTACAATTTCTGTATCACCATTCTTTCATTCGTCAGAGTAGGTAGCTGAGGCCAAAAATTATTATTTGAACAATTTTTAAGCACTGAATTTCATAACTATTCCTCGATTATTTACCTACTATAACTGCCTTGTATGATTTTTGATTTTTCCAAGTTCTTCAAGTTTAAAAATTTATGTATGATCATTTATCCACAACAGGGCGATTTTACTCTGAAAAATTAATTATAAAATAGCTAATTCAAAGCACTTCTTAAGTGCTTACTATGTACCAATTGTTGTTATTATAGGCCTTGATGATACAGATATAAAAGTATGGAATGATCCTTTTGCTTAGAGCTTTATAAAGTAATTCAGCTACTCGTTTGTGGCTGTTGAAACAATAGCATTCATAAAAATAGTTTATCATTATTCATTCTCATGTTTTGTAAGAAATACTTTCCAGTAGTAGACATTGTAATTCAGTATTACTGCTAGATTGTTAAAAGTTACATTTCTTTGAAAAATGATGCTATTTATTTTTTTCATTTTATTTTTCCCAGCTTTACTGAAGTATAGTTGACCCAAAAAATTTGTATGTATTTAAGATGCACAACATAATCTTTGAATTTCTTTTTAATTGATACATAATTATACAGTGTGATAATTAAATTCATATATAATATACAGTGAACAAATCATTTTAAGTAGCATTTTCATCTCCTTATCATTTCTTTATGTTTTGGGTCTTTGAATTTCTTTCAAATTCTTCTTAAAATATACAATAGGTTGTTCTGTACTCATCCTACTGTGATGTAGAACACTAGAACTTATTCCTCCTATCCTACTATATTTTGATACCCTTTATACAAACCTCCTTTATCTTCTCTAATCCTTATTTTTCCTTGCCTCTAATAATCACTATTTTACACTTTTCTATGAAATCAATGTTTTTAGCTTCTATATAAGAGAACATGTAGTATAGGTGTTTTT